CGTGGTTGTTTTCGAGTCCGTAGAATTGATGGCTCACTTACTTCCAAATCATCAGCTTCAGATTTTACTTGTAGAACTGATTAAACGATGTATCTCTTAATCTTTGCAAATACTGTTTGGTGACTGTGACATACTTTATAGCTTCAGTTAAGGACAATGCTTTCGTTTGCAACGTACCTAAAGGCTGCTCTGTTGCATTAAAAAAAAGAAAACACATTTTCATGCTAAAATATATTTCAAATTTTTGAAGCTGTTGCAATATTCCCCTTGCTTTGGACCCAGAGTCATCTGATGCCAATTCTCCAATTTCTGCCATTGCATTTATAACAGACTTGTAATTCGTTTCTTCTAACAATGCTTCAAAGGCACTAAAACGAACAGCCCAGCGAGTAGAACACAATGGCTTCAGGTTCTTAATGGGACCTCAGTCATTGTTATCATACAACATCTGCTGCCTAATTTCATCAAAGACAGTAAATTTCTTAGGTGAATTCTTTATCATGTTAGCAATTTCAGATACAAGTGAAAGACTATCCCGGACCAAAGTGCATTGTCTGGTACAGTCTGTCATATTTGTTACTCCATCATAAGCTTGGCCACGGCAGTTTTCTGGACTTAATGAAAATCGGAGTAGAACATCTTTAACAGTTTTTGTTAAAGAGTAGGCATCTAATTGCTCTAGTTTATATAGATCAAGGAAGTCCTCGTGCACATCATAATTTTCATCAACCCAACGTATACAAATTGATAGCTGCTCTTTGTTTAAAATGTCCCTGGATTCATCCCCTATAATGGCAAAGTATTTTGAATTCTGGATATGTGATAACAACTTTAAAATCACCGCTCGGGAAAAAAGTTCTATACACTCATTTACTATTATTGGGGACAAGTAGTTTTTGCTCTAGAGCCAATTCTGTAGCCCTTTTACATCTTGAGATTTCAGTAACATCAATTGTTTAAGGTTGCGCTCTGTTTCTGTATGACCACGTATTGCAAGACCTTGACGCAGAAGAAACTTTAAGGACGATAGTTCTACTATCGTCCTTAAAGTTTCTTCTGCGTCAAACATTTGTTGTCTTTAACTCTGGCTTTGTCTAATCTGCTTCAAAAGTTGACTTGTTACAGATTTTGCCTTTTGATTTATAAGCTGGTACTTTTCTAAGGCTTCCCTATGAGAATCACTTGGTTCGTGCTCATTAAATTTAGTAACTGCCTTCTTCCAATTGTCGAATCTTGTTGTCACAAAGGCAGGTTCCTTTCTTTTGCTTAAGTCAAGTTTGTTGATACTTTCAATAAATCGACAACAGAAGCAAAATACTTTATATCTTGTTACGCAGAGTGTTAGCCACGACCATTTAGTGTGCCATGACTTTTGAAACACTCTAAACTTATTTTTGTTTCCAGTTTGTTTTTTTGTCATTTTGAGTATACATTCATCATCTGGTTGGTAGGCCTGGGTTATATTTGAATTGCAACATAGGGCATTACAGTATGATGTAGAGGTTACTGAATCTGACTGTGAGGCTTGTACACCAGTTATAGTCAACGGCTATTTACTTGTATTTACTCTTAACTGTCTGGTAATAATATCTTGCTGACTTATTTCACTTTCTTGATTAGTACAGATTTCTGCATTTTTCTGACTGTGAACAGAGGATGCCTCCGTCTGTGGGGTATTATCTTTTGACTCCTGTCTGTAAGTAAAAAAAAAAGTTACATAGTAAATTTAAAGGCTAAATATTAGGCGGTGTTTTTGATTTTTTTTTTAATGGATTTTTTAACTACAGTAGAGTTTGTGTAACGGAAATAGATGTACTCACGTTAGGCTAACATTTAATGCAGTAAGTTTCGGTTGGTAAAAATCCTCGATTCGCCTACGCTTCAAAGTCATTGTTAATCGGATTGATAAGATATTATAAATACTGTAATTTAATAATTTATATTTGAATTAAATAGTTTTCATTTAGTCAAGCTGAAATAATATATTTACAAAACAACAATTTTAAAAATTGTATGAACATAAAAAAATAGATAAAAACGTTATCAATAAACTACAATTTTTTTTTTTAACTTTACGTTCTACTGTATTTTAAAATTGTATTGCGTTCTTTCGCATTTCGAACGTTCTATTGCATTGGTTTAAATAATGTCAAGATTAATAAACTTTAAGCGTATTCTTTATAAGCATGATTTTACTTCTGTCTTTAAAATTTATTCTAGTCTGTTTTTAAAATTTTAAAGGGTTATAAAAAGCAACATGTATGTTTTACTATAACTACCTTTTATACATGTTTTTCAGCGCAATGACTCCATGAAAAACTATAGTTATCTTTTGCCAGCACACATTTATTTTGAAAACAGTTAGTATATTAAATATGGATAAAGACTTGCTTTCTCAAATCTAAAATCTTGTTTTGAAGTTCTTTTTACTACAATAAATATAAAATTTCACTATTAACTAATCCTGCTTTTTTAAAATTTTCACAATTAATTAAAATAAATAGTTAAATTTTTCACAATCAATTATCACGGGAAAAAAAAATTTGCGCAATCATTAACATTTTTATGATGCCATAATTCATTTATTTAACTTTTTACATTCATTTAACTTTTTTAAATTCTATACATTTTGATTGTGATGTCTACCGTAACTGTATAAAAGATTACTTTTTAGTAGAAAATTAAACTTTACTTTTTTTGAGAATTTTCTTTTTCTAATAGAGTATTAATGCCCTTCCAATTATTTTCTAAATCTTCACAATGTTTTTGAAGATTTATAAACGATGTTTAATTAGAGTTAAGTAACGAAAAATATTAAAATACTAATCAGCCTTTTCGAAATTCAAGTTAGTAGCAAAAATATCTCAGGGTTTGCAGATTCACATGGAAGTTCCATGATGGAATGTGTAAGCTAGTTCTGTAAAATACCAGTAAAAGTTTTCTTTTTGCAAAAACTTCAATGTTTAACTCTTTATATTCAACAAGTTGGTGTAAAGACCATCAGCTTAAGAATTACACTTTACATTGATTACTTTACCAGTAGTCTGGTACAACTGCATATAAACTTTGTATTATGTTTTATAGACCTTTAGGTACTAGGAGTGCTTATAATGAACTAAGTACTAAATTTTAAGCAGAACTTAGAAATTTAAATAAAGTTTAAATTTTAAAATGAACTAAGTACTAGGACTTAAAAAGAACTTCCTGTACAGATAATAACAAAAGTTTTTCATTAATTTTTTATTTATATTGAAAATCTGGTTGCTTTGTTGTTTTTCTGGTTGTTTTGTTGTGTTCAGGTTGTTTTCCATTTTTTAAACAAATGCGCACATACCTTTCTTTCAAAATTAGCTAATCAAATAGCGCATATCTGTGGTTATTCTGAGTCTGTATATGGTTTCAAAATATGTTTGCTGTGGACATAATTTCTGCAAGAAAGAAATTTTTTTCTTGGGTGAATGCATTTAAAAACGGTAGTGCTAAATCTAATATTTATAAAGTCCCGGCGGAAGGCGGGTAAAATGGGTACTTTTCACCGAGGCGCCAAGGCTTTGAAGGCGCCAAATTTTCTTTGAATATTTATTTTTAACAAATTTTTATTGAATATTTTTTCGTAACAAAATAAAATTGTAAACTAAAATATGTAAATTAAATTTTTCTTTAGTTCAAATTTAGTTTGCGATAGTACAAATCTTGAAAAACTCGACTAAGTGCAAATCAAGTGTGTATTTATCTTTTTTCGGTGTTTTTTTGTTTAAAACGCCGAAAAAAAAAATAACTCTAGATATCCGAGGTAGTTTTCATGATGAAAACACAAAACTTAGATGCGTTCATTCTATTGGCCTATTTATAAGTTTTTAACCGTGTCTTGATTACACTTCTCCACCTTATTTTAAGAAAACTAAAAGCATTACACAGCCAAAACTTTCAAAAACTATTATTTCAAACTTTTATCAAGAATAATTGAAAGATTTTTAAAACTTCCAATGAATATAAACTTTGAAAAAAATGGTTATAAAAAATCTTATTTATTCAATTCCCTCACACTAAGAGTTAGAGCTACACAAAATTTGGGGTATTTTTATTCCCAGGTTTTTGAACAAGGCAATTTGAACCAAAATTTTTATTTTATTTTTCATTAAAGTGTACTTTACATAACAAGCTATCAATAATGTATACACATTTTTCTCTAAGACACAGCAAAATATGTATACAAATACTATTGAGTTTTAAATATGTAAAAAACTAAAGTTTTAAAGTTTTTAAAGTTTTAAAGTTTTTAAAGTTTTAAAGTTTTTAAAGTTTTTAAAGTTTTTAAAGTTTTAAAGTTTTTAAAGTCTAAAAAAACTAGAGTTTTATTTTTTAATATTTTTTCAATGTAAAAAATATTAAAAATGTGTAACTTTGTCAGTTCCCAGACTATTTACGCTGATTCACAGTTATGAAATTTGCTCAGGAAGTCTCCCTAAAAATTGTTTAGTTGTTTGTTTTATCAATTTTAAAAGTTTGGATTATTTTATTCATATTTGTTTCTGAGATTAAAACGTATAATTTATAGCCTTTTTGCATTCTTTTTTTTATATCCTCTTTGTCCTTCTTACTTTTATATCCTTTTTGTCCTTCTTTTTTTTAAATCCTCTTTGTCCTTCGTTTTTTTACATCTTCTTTGTCCTTCTTTTTTTTGCATCCTCTTTGTCCTTCTTTTTTTTATATCCTCTTTGTCCTTCTTATTTTTATATCCTATTTGTCCTTCCTTTTTTCATATCTTCTTTGTCCTTTGTTTTTTTACATCTTCTTTGTCCTTCTTTTTTTAATATCCTCTTTGTCCTTCTTATTTTTATATCCTCTTTGTCCTTCTTTTTTTTTACATCCTCTTTGTCCTTCCTTTTTTTACATCCTCTTTGTCCTTCTTTTTTTTATATCCTTTTTGTCCTTCTTTTTTTTACATCCTCTTTGTCCTTCTCTTTTTTATATTCTCTTTGTCCTTCTTTTTTTTATAGGAAAAATGCAGATGATCAGAAGAAAAAATAAGAGAAAAAATTTCAAAAAGATAATTTTATCTATACCTCAATTTCTTTCTAACAAAATAAACAAAATAATATTCGATATCATTAGTAAGCCATCTAAAGTAGACTTTACTAATTCTAATATGAAAATTAAAAATCTTTTGACGGAAGGTTTAAACAGTCATAAAAAAGACCTCAATTATCCACAAAAGCTAAACAGTTATCACTTAAATCATATTAATAACCAATATATGATTGAACGTGAATCGAATTATAAGAAACCACAAGAATCTAACCACAGGAAAAACCACGAGAAACCAAAAGAATTGAATCACAAGAATTATTTGAGTGATTATCACAATAACACAAGGTTTAAAAATATAAAACTTGTTAATTTGATGTTAGATGAAAACCAAACATCATTGAGTGATGTTGACAACAAACTAAAGGAAAACATAAGAAAGTATTTGCAAGATGTTGAATCTTCAAATAATACTGAATCAACAGAGAGTTTCGTTCAAAGAATGATAAATACTTATAACATTGCTAAAAAAAAATACTCTCGCAAAGTAAATGCAACCTATGGCGTTTCCAGTAATCGAACAAAGAGCGTTGACAAATACTATTCTCGAAAGAAGATAAACACTCATTCGACTCCTGAAGATAAGCACAATGAGTTTAGCAACACAAATGATATAAGTTTACAAACATTAGATGATTTACTGAGAAAAAAGTTGGAATCTTCAGATATAGTGTTTGATCTAAGTGGTACATTTGAACCTTTAGAAAACCCTACAATAAACGATGGCGTATTAGTTTTAGAAAATATTTTTGAAAACAATAAAAAAGTATCGGGGCTTCAACTACTTACCCATGAATTCCAAAAAATCTTAAAGTCAATGAATTTAACAAACTTATCTAAGTTTGTAACACCCTTATTTGTAAAAGAATTTATAAGAAGTAAATCTTTGAACCCTAAATTAAACGAGAACATTAATTATTTTTATAGAAAAATTATTAGAAAAATGCAACAGTCAACTAATGAAGAAACATATAATCAATCAGTAGCAGTTAAAGAAAAGAAGCCTGATGTTTTTCACGATTATGGGTTTAATATAAACAATACTTTAGAGAAGCAAAGAGATTCTATTTCCCGTAATCACTTAAACCAATTGCTATATGTTGTGCTTAATACCGTTTTACAAAATCAGACGGCAAGAAATACTCTTGACTTAAATAAACAATTAAATAGTCAATCGTTCTTAACTTTACAACCCTCACTAGACATTCGTTCAAACTTTGACCCAAGTTTAAACTCAGTTTATCAAGCAAACGATCTTCTGAAAAAACAAGAAAAAAAGATTAAAAAAATCACACTTATGAAAAAATACGATAAAAAAAAATACATACCCAACCAAATAGAAACAACAAACGCTGTACTATTAACAGCGATAAGGTAACTTTAAAGTTATAGTACAATTAGTTTTTTTATAGTTTATAGTTCTTTAGATAGATAAATATGCTTTTCTGTTTTTTTGTTGTTACTTTTTTTAGGGAGATAATTGAAAAGATAAACGCAATAAAGGAATCATTACAAGATGAAAAGAATAATACTACATTAAAGTGACAAATAACATTACGAAAACAAAAATAATGTAAAGAAAGTTAAAAATAAATAAATACTTTTAACCAGTGATAGCAATTGATAATTAAAGCAATAAGAGAAAAATCTCTTAATTTACTGTTATGTTTTTACACTAATTTACTGTTATGTTTTACTTCTTTTCTAATAGAAAGCTACGTGAAGGCGTAGTTCCTTATACAAATTTACGTGTGACGTATAATACGTTTCTATCCCGCTTTGCATTACAATTAGAAGTGGGAAAAACAGAGACGGTTGTGCGTCAAGGAACTTAATAATACGACTGAGTAATTCATTTATAAAAAACACTTCAACGTTTTGTGTTAAAATTGCAATTAAATACAATATTAAACTTTTATTTTTGTGCGGTTGCCCTGGATTTATGTTGTTTATTTTTTTTATTAGGAGAGGCACTATTCGACAATTGATTATATTTAATAAAAATATTAAAAATCCGAACTTTTCTTGTGAAGCTTTTTAATAAAGGAATAATAGAATTGCACAGCATAAAAATGAATTACGAGTGAATGCACAAATAACTTGATAAAAAGAAAAAAAAAAACTAAAAAATAATTAATAATTATCTTCCTCACCTGCGATGGTTCCTCTTGATCAGGTGTATTGACTATGCGCATGCGCTGTTGGTTTTTTATCGAATTTATTAAATCTAAGTTAATTAATCTAACAAAATTTTGATAAGGTGCATTTTTGCAGTGGATTTTGAATAAGAATGTTTCTATTTTTCAATAGAGATGGTTTTTACGCGCTAACTTTAAAACGAAATGGTTTTACTGTTTTTACGCGCAAGTTTGAGTTATCTTATTATAAGTAGATTATAGTTAGAGAATACTAAAATGGTAAGTGCAGAATATTGTTTTTAAGTCAATTTTTAGAATTAGAGTAATATATTAAAAGAAAAAGTTATAAATTATTATTATTCTCATTTAATTCAAAAACTTTGTCTAATATAACCTTTTATATAATTATTTGAAATGTTTATACAGAGTTGTTTCGGTCACAACTTGTAGTTGCTTATTACTTAAGTTGAAGTTAACAATTTAACGCTTTTTATTGTAAAATTTTTACAGAGCTTTTTATCAAAAAAACTTTGATGATTATTTCTTATTATCATTATTATTCAAAGTTAATATTTTTATTATCATTATTTATTATTATAAATTTATATTTTATTATTATATTAATTATTATACTGTTATTATTAATAAAAATTAATAATTTTCAATATTTGCGATATTTTGTGTAAAAGTGTGTTAATATACCTTTTTTATTATTATGGTGTAATAGTGTATTAATCGATGACTTATAAATATAACTTATAAATATATTATTTTGATAAATTAAATTTGATTTGATTAATTAAGTATCTAGAATTATTTTAGAATTATTAATTAAGTATCAGAGAAATATTTTTTACTATATATATATATATATATATATATATATATATATATATATATATATATATATATATATATATATATATATATATATATATATATATATATATATATATATATATATATAATATGTAAATTGATTTTAATAAAAAGGCAGCATATAACTATTTTTAAATATATTTTGATGTAAAAATATATTAACGGTATTTCGCTGACCTATTGTGGTCAGCTTCATCAGGTAATAATAAAACGTTCCAAAATAACATCAAACAAACCGTTTTGGACCCATTTTGACAAAAATTTAATTGACGTCATTATTATATTATATAATTAGTTTTTATATTTGACGCTTTTTAATGTCTTCTTTTTAAACGGTTTGTTTGATGTTATTTTGTAACGTTTTATTATTACCTGATGACGCTGACCAAAAAGGGCAGCGAAATATTGTTAATATATTTTTACATCAAAATATATTTAAAAATAGTTATATGGTGCCTTTTTATTAAAATCAGTTTACATATTATATATATATATATATATATATATATATATATATATATATATATATATATATATATATATATATATATAATATATATATATATATAATATATATATATATATCGTATAACAAGAAATGACTTTTAAAGATTCTAAGAACCATTTCTTAGAATAACATTGTCATGTAATGAATATTATAAATATAATTATGTTATAAATATAACAAAACCGTTTTCTAAAAAGACAACAAAACAAGACGCATTATTAACTTTGCAAAGTAAACAAAAATAATTAAGAAAATCCTAAATAACTGTTACAATATTTTTTTCACATTAGACCATGAGAATCTTATTATGACCATCTTATCAAGATCATGAGAATCATTTACAATATATGGTCAGTTTTTGATAAATAAAATACAATTTCTCTCGTGAAATTATGATTTTTTTTTAATTTTTTTAAAAAAAAAAAAAAAAAAACGATTACGATAAATGAAAATATTTTCGATATAAACGAAGCTTAATTCAGTTTATTTAAAAAATCAAAATTTGGTAACACTATTTTCTTCTAGAGATAAGAATATTTTATTCTAGAGATAAGACTATTTTGTTCTAGAGATAAGGACCTTTTTAGGATTGGTCTTTACTTTTTTGGCAAAAAGGAGCAATACGATTTGTTATTTATGCAAAGAATATATTTGTTTTTAGGTTTCAAACAATCAAAATTTTGTAATAGATTTGGTGACAAATTTTCTCTACATTTAAACATGAAGCATAAATTATTAAACACATTCAGTTGATATACATTTAAAAGATTCATTTCTTTAAAAAGTTGTCTCATGTGGGAAAAACAATTTTTAAAATTTACTGTGCAAGCTGCGTGTTTCTGATGAACGTAGATTTTAGCTTTTTTCTTTGAGTGCTTCCCCATATAGTATTTGCATAATTAAATTTTGTTTACTGGTGTTTAATATATTTCTTACTTTATGGAGAATTACGAGGCATTCAGCAATTTTAGAGGAGGAATTATCAATATAATTTCTCCAAGATAATTACATTATCAAGATCCAGCATGATATGGGGCAGTTTTTTTTTTTTTTTGAAGGTGGATAGAAGAATGTCCATTCAGTTTTTTCTATATTTACAGATAATCGATTTTTTTTAAACCAAACAAAGACTTTTTTTAACTCACTTTGTTATATAGTAAAAAACTTAATATCTTTATAAGACAAAAGTAAAATTGTGTCATCTGCAAAATTTATTGTTGTAAAGTTTGATTATGTATGAAGATCATTTATGTATATTATAAAAACGAGTGGATCAAGTGTGGATTTTTGTGAAACGCCTAATAAAACACTTTGTCAGTATGCTTTATTATATATTTATCAATAAAATATAATATATATTATATTATTAACCTATTGATAAAATTTTTATAGGGTAAAAATATTTCAAAAAATAATTTGAAGTCAAGAAATAAAAAAAGAATCGTTTTCCGAAGTTTACATCATGTATATTTTTGAAATATGTACTTAGTTGTTGTCCATTCCAGCATTCAGCACCAAAGTTTAAATAGTAGTTTTAAAAAAAGTTATTTTATAAGCTCAGTTTTTAAACATAATTTCTATGAAGTAAAATTTTCCATTTCTTATTTAGAGTCTAGATAATTAAGTTTATTTTTTTAATTTTGTTTAATGTGATTGTCTAGGAATATTGTGCAGTTTATTTTTTAAGACTTTTAAACGCTTTTTAGACGTACAAAAGCTGTGTTTTTTTATAAAAGCGTATTTTAGGCTGTATTTTTTTATTAGTTTTATGAAGTTTAAATTGCTATACAGTTTCCTTACAATTTCGTATATTTGTTGAACTGGTTTACATATTTCAAACATTTGTTTAACTGGTTGACATATTTCGTACATTTGTTGAACTGATTTACATATTTCGCACATTTGTTGAACTGGTTTAGATATTCAGCATCTTGGTGTATTAGGTTTCTTATAAGATAATAATTAGCAATAAAATAAATATCAAAACTCTCTTGATTTTTATTGACTTAAACAATATTCCGTGAATACTTATTTTTTCAATCCTGCCTTTACAGGGGTAGGAATAGTTCACTCACAGATCAAATGCTCAGTGAGTGAGCCATAAAATTTATTTACCTGAAAATTAAAAGTTAGATATTATTTTAAACTAATTAAGTAAAAATTAAACAAGTAACAGAGGTTTTCTAATCATTTATCATCATTTTAAAATTATTTAGATAAAAAAATTTATAAACTTCAAATTTGTTTTTATTCTGTGTTATACTATCTTAATAACAAAGCAAACAATTGCATTTTTTCAGCATAAAATTTACACCAAAAGTTAAACTGTACTACTGACTTGTATTATGTATTATTTGTATTATGTAGGGGAAAAGCGGGTAGCCCCAGTGGCTTGTAATCCAAGACACTTGTAACCCTAGATACATGATGTACAGTAAACGGTAAAATAACTATTTGATTGTCAGTACTATAAGAACATTCTCTAAGTTAAATTATAGCATATGCCAGTTATCTGTTCCAATGGGTTGAACCGATTGGTTGAAGTGTGAGGTATTGTTTTTTATTATCAAAAGAACATATGTTGTCTTTTGATTCGTCTATTACAGTATCTAACTTTTATTTATAATGTTTGCTTTTTATTTATTTATGATAAAACCTAATTTATAAAAAAAACTTTTATATATATGTATATATATATATATATATATATATATATATATATATATATATATATATATATATATATATATATATATATATATATATAAAGCGTGTACACGAAATAACTGTGAAAGAATAAGTAAGTCATTTTTTTTCAGTGGTTATATAAAAACATTTTAAATTGTTTTGTATTTTGTTTACAACGTGTTGTGGTTTCAAAAAAATGTATTAGTTTTTGATTTAACTTAAAATTAGTTTTAAAAATGACAAAAGAAGAAAAAATTATGCACAAATATTTGGAAAATCCCAATAATAGCTACAATTCGATAGCAAAAGCGGTGAAAATACATCCATGCACTGTTAGTTGTGTAATCCAAGGTTTTTCTCCAACAAAACCGATCAAACGTAAATCTGGTGGTGGAAGAAAGAAGGTTTTTAAAGATAAAAAACTAGTTAGAAAACTGGTTAACAGTTTTAAGACTAACCCAAGGCTTTCACTAAGGGAGCGCGCAAGCATTTATGGACTTTCTAATAGTTTTGTTCTAAAAGTTCGAAATAAACATGGTTTTCATTCTTTTAAAACACAAAAAGTCCCCAAACGATCTGAAACTCAACAAAAAAGTGCAAAAACCCGCTGTTTTTCAAACACCGGGTTTTTGAAAGAAAGAAGAAAAAAATTTTGCAGAATTTTATAAACGATATTAAAATATCATTTAAATAAGCATCAAATGG